CTAAACGCAATCTGGGAGCTTTTGGGTGCCTTCGAGCTTCTGGGAGCCTTCTGGGAGCCTCTGGTCTGGGAGACTCTGGAAGCTTCTGGGTGCCTTCTGGGAGCGTTCTGGCGGCCCCTCGGCCGGCTATTAAAAACCCCTTCTGGGATCCTTGGGAAACGGCCGTTTTGGGCCAAATCCTGGCCAGCAGCCTTTTGGAGGCAAATTTCTGGCATTTGGCGGCCCCTCGGCCGGCTATTGAATTTCTCTTCTGGGATCCTTGGGAAACGGCCGTTTTGGGCCAGATCCTGGCCAGGAGCCTTTTGGAGGCAAAGTTCTGGCATTTGGCGGCCCCTCGGCCGGCTATTAAACTCCCCTTCTGGGATCCTTGGGAAACGGCCGTTTTGGGCCAAATCCTGGCCAGGAGCCTTTTGGAACCAATTTTCTGCCATTTGAAGGCCTTGGGGCCGGCAATTAAAAGCGCCTTCTGGGATCATTGGGAAACGGCCCTTTTGGGCCAAATCCTGGCCAAGAGCCTTTTGGAGCCAGATTTTGGGATTTTGGCGGCTTGCCGGCCAACAATTAAAGGCGCCTTCTGGGATCCTTGGGAAACGGCCGTTTTGGGCCAAATCCTGGCCAGGAGCCTTTTGGAAGCCAGATTTTGGGACTTTGGCGGCTTGCCGGCCGGCAATTAAAAGCGCCTTCAGGGATCATTGGGAAACGGCTCTTTTGGGCCAACTCCTGGCCAGGAGCCTTTTGGAAGCAAATTTCTGCCCTTTGAGGGCCTTTGCAGAAGCACAAAGACCGGCAGCAGGCGCACGAGAGTGGAAGGGAGCACGGAGGGAACAGCCGCACGAAAGGAGGAGGAACAAGAGGAAGGGATGAAAGCAAATATGACTGGGGACCATTGGGCGGGTGGGTTGAAGCAAACAAAGATATCAACCCAAGGAAGGAATATCTCTGTCACACAGTGTCTTAGATCCTAATCCTAATCCCTAATTCTAAATCCTAATTCTAAATCCTAATTCTAAATCCCTAATTCTAAATCCTAATTCTAAATCCTAGTTCTAAATCCTAGTTCTAAATCCTAGTTCTAAATCCTAGTTCTAAATCCTAATTCTAAATCCTAATTCTAAATCCTAATTCTACATCCTAAATCCTAATTCTAAATCCTAATTCTAAATCCCTAATTCTAAATCCTAATTCTAAATCCTAGTTCTAAATCCTAGTTCTAAATCCTAGTTCTAAATCCTAGTTCTAAATCCTAGTTCTAAATCCTAATTCTAAATCCTAATTCTAAATCCTAATTCTAAATCCTAATTCTAAATCCTAATTCTAAATCCTAATTCTAAATCCTAATTCTAAATCCTAAATCTAAATCCTAATTCTAAATCCTAATTCTAAATCCTAATTCTAAATCCTAATTCTAAATCCTAATTCTAAATCCTAATTCTAAATCCTAATTCTAAATCCTAGTTCTAAATCCTAGTTCTAAATCCTAATTCTAAATCCTAATTCTAAATCCTAATTCTAAATCCTAATTCTAAATCCTAATTCTAAATCCTAATTCTAAATCTTAATTCTAAATCCTAATTCTAAATCCTAATTCTAAATCCTAATTCTAAATCCTAAATCCTAATTCTAAATCCTAATTCTAAATCCTAATTCTAAATCCTAATTCTAAATCCTAATTCTAAATCCTAATTCTAAATCCTAATTCTAAATCCTAAATCCTAATGCTAAATCCTAATGCTAAATCCTAGTTCTAAATCCTAATGCTAAATCCTAATTCTAAATCCTAATTCTAAATCCTAATTCTAAATCCTAATTCTAAATCCTAATTCTAAATCCCAATTCTAAATCCCAATTCTAAATCCTAATTCTAAATCCTAATTCTAAATCCTAATTCTAAATCCTAATTCTAAATCCTAATTCTAAATCCTAATTCTAAATCCTAATTCTAAATCCTAATTCCAAATCCTAATTCTAAATCCTAATTCTAAATCCTAATTCTAAATCCTAATTCTAAATCCTAATTCTAAATCCTAATTCGAAATCCTAAATCCTAATTCTAAATCCGAATTCTAAATCCGAATTCTAAATCCTAATTCTAAATCCTAAATCCTAAATCTAAATCCTAATTCTAAATCCTAATTCTAAATCCTAAATCTAAATCCTAATTCTAAATCCTAATTCTAAATCCTAATTCTAAATCCTAATTCTAAATCTTAATCTTAATCTAAATCTAATCTAATCTATCTTTCTAAGTATCTGTCTATCTGTTTGTTTGTCTGTCTGTCTATCTATTTACTTATCTAATATATCATATCCAATCTATCTATTTGTTTGTCTGTCTATCTATCTATCTATCTATATCTATCAATCTATCAATCTATCAATCTATCAATCTATCATCTATCAACCAATCTCATATATCTACATAATCTATCTATTTATTTGTTTGTCTATTTGTCTATCAAACTAGTCTAATCTTCTCTGATCTTATCTAATCTAATCTAAGCTAATCTAATCCAACCTCTCTAATCTTTCAAGTCTGTCTATTAATCTATCTAATCTATCTAATCCACCTAGTCTACCTTTTCTATCTGATCTATCTAATATGCCTACTCTATCCAAGTGACCTTACCTATCTATTCTATCTAAATAATCTACATGAAAGCAAAGCAGAGAAAAAAAAACAGTTTCTCTTGAAACAAATTCCATTGCGGTCCTATCCTGTACAGTACTCTGACTGATGCAGGTTTCATGGAGTTTCCATGCAGTTTCCATGCAGGTTTCATGTTGGTTACATGCTGGGTTTGCTGATTTAGCTTACTGGTGTGTAACCTCCATGACAACTCCCTGGAACCTGCATGGAATCTGCATGGAACCTCCATGGAACCTGCATCAGGCAGAGTGCATGGTAAAACCAACAAGTGTAGATAGAGGCACCACTTCCATAACGCACATGGAAACTGCATGAAATTCTACATCAATTCTCCATGGAACTTGCATGGAACCTCCATGAAAACTGCATCAGTTAGAAGGCGCCATGCAACCATCACGTTTAGACACAAGACACAACGGAACCTACATGAAACCTCCATGAAACCTACATCAATTCTCCATGGAACCTGCATGGATACTCCATCAAAGAAGCGCCATACAAGCACCAGGTGTAGATACAGGGAACAGAGACTTTTTTTTAGTGGACACTACGTGGAAACCATCAGACGCTTTGACGCAAATTGATCGCAAATCGATCGTAAATCGATCGTAAACTGATCGTAAAAAAATGCACAAAAACTGTCATAGCACCTGTGCATTTTGATGTCGTTTTCGCTAGGTCATCTGTCTTTGTTGATGTCCCTTTTTGTTTCTGCACTGGAAAAGTCAATTTCTTCCAGAGTTTCTATTTATCCTGAGTGTTCACTGCTTGGTGGTTTCGATTTTGGCAAGGTTTCAAATGTGAATTTTGTTTGATGTCATTTTGATGGAGTTTTATGTCTGTCTCGGTGTCAACTTGATGGAGGTTCCTAACATATAATATTGCAAACTAAGTTAATTAAAAGACGAAACCACCAAGAGAAATGAACTCACTTATGTCATCTTGGATTCTATGATCACCAAACCATATGAATATATGAATTGGCAAGTGCCGTTTTCTACAGGCCTTAGGTTCTTGTCGATGTCATATTGATGTTGTTTTATGGCCTTCTTATTCGTTTTTAGGCCGATGTCAAATCGATCGACTAAGGATCGCAAAATGATTGCAAAACAACGTCGAAATCCTACATCAAAATGACACATTACAAAGTCCACACTTGAAACCCTGGCCTTGCCAACATCAAAACCGCCAAGCAACGAACACTCAGGATAAATAGAAATTCTGGAAGAATTTGACTTTTCCAGTACAGAAACCAAAAGAAACATCAGCAAAGACAGATGGCCTAGTGAAAACGACATCAAAACGCACAGATGCTATAACAGTTTTTGTGCGATCAATTTAGTTACGATCGATTTGCGATCGATTTGCATCAAAGCGTCTGATGGTCTCCATGTAGTTTCCATTAAAAAAACTCGAGCATGTTCCCTGTATCTACACCTGATGATTGTATGGCGCTTCTTTGATGGAGTATCCATGCAGGTTCCATGGAGAATTGATGTAGGTTTCATGGAGGTTTCATGTAGGTAACCGTTGTTTCTTGTGTCTAAACGTGATGGTTGCATGGCCCTTCTAACTGATGCAGTTTTCATGGAGGTTCCATGCAGGTTCCATGGAGAATTGATGTAGAATTTCATGCAGTTTCCATGTGCGTTATGGAAGTGGTGCCTCTATCTACACTTGTTGGTTTTATCATGCACTCTGACTGATGCAGGTTCCATGGAGGTTCCATGCAGATTCCATGCAGGTTCCAGGGAGTTGTCATGGAGGTTACCCACCAGTAAGCTAAATTTGCAAACCCAGCATGTAACCAACATGAAACCTGCATGGAAGCTCCATGGAAAATCCATGAAACCTGCATCAGTCAGAGTACAGGATAGGACCACACGGTTTCAAGAAACTGTCTTTCCCCCATTTCAAAAATAAATAGACAAGTACAGAAAAATGCAATAGAATTCAATAATCAATTAAACAATCACGTGAAATTATTGGACATTAAATAAGTGTACATTTTACGAGATACAAGATGAATATCAGTTCAAAAACAAACCTAATCTGGTAGCAATCATTGTTGTTTTAAATTTGTTTTCTTTATTTCAAACGATTTCATTGTTTGCAGGGTTTGATATTTTTTGTTTTTTCTAAGTTTACAAAACCATCAATTCCCAGACTTCCAAACCACCAACCCAAACCACCACGTAAGCACAAGTTGAATGGTCATCTCTTGCAAGGACATTGACACTCCTGAAAAATCCTAGCAACCAGACAATGCAACATGTTTTTTGTTGGTTCGACTAAGCACGGGTTAGTTGGTGGAGCCAGTATCGTGCTGCTCTTTAGTTGAACTGCTATGAGTCGCGTTGCTGTGCGCATGACAAATGATTCGGAATCTGATTCCGAACAAGATTCTGAGTCGGAGCTTGAAGATCATGCTGGTTTGAAGATCAGAAAGTTGCCAGTGGTTGGAATACTGCTTGTTGAGCTCTGTGAGCGACTCACATATTACACCCTAGCAGGCACCCAGAAGATCTATCTTCAGAATCAACTGAAGAAGACACCATCTACTTCCGCTGCCTTGAATTCCGTCTTCAATATGTTGTGCTATTTCTGGTGCGTACCTGGTGGTCTGCTGGCGGACTCAATTGGTCGCTACAAGACCATCATTGCTGCTGGCAGCATTTATGCCATTGGAACCATTTGCGTCGGCATTTCTGTGATCTACGAACTTCAAGCTTCCCTTGGCTGGCTATTCATGTTGGGCAGCCTGGTGCTGATTGCCATGGGAACTGGTGGTATCAAGCCCAACATTGCAAACTTTGGCGCGGATCAGATTGGAGATGTATCTGAGAAACAAAGAGAGTGTCAAAAAACTTTTTTTTCCCTCTTCTACCTGTCCATCAACATTGGTGTCTTGATAGCTTTTGGCTTCCTGACCAACACAACCACAGCTGGGCTTGCTGGTGTGGTTCCACAGCAGGAGGGGTATTCTTTTGCCTATGGATCTGGGGCAGGTTGCATGATTCTGGCAGTATTGATCTTTGTGGGTTTCACAGGATCATATACAATGCTCCCAGGAAACGGATTGGGACCTGTCCGGCGCTTGATTCGGTACCAATACTATTCTGTGTGGCATGGAGGCGGTTGGAAGGCTGCAATGTCTCTTGCGGGCTTCCTTTGCCTTCCTTTGTTCTACATTGTGACACTGGCTGATACTCTTCTTTCAGCTTCTGCTGAGAAATCGAACACAGAAGTTTTCACCGACCCTTGTGCAGCACCTCTCACAGAAGCACCTCCTCGCATGCTTCATGGTGGCGGTGGTGGACACGGAGTTCTCAGCGACATTGCGTTGGCTTTGGGATCAATGGCATGCATCTTCCTTGTTGTCGCTGCCTCAGTTGTCAAACCGTTTTTGAACCAAAATCTTCCAAGATAGAAAATACATGAAAATACAGTAAAACAACCTTCTCAGTCCATTGGTCAAGATGCGGAGATGAGATGCTATTCTGGGGTTGTCCAATTCCCAGTTTTATCTCCAATCCAATGTAGAATGATGATCCGACGAAGACATCATGAAGTTGCCGCAACCGGGTTCACTGACAGTAGCTGCCGGTGTGTGTTTGCACGCCGGACCCATGAGCATGCATTTTGTCAGATTTGAATGCGTTGAAGTCTGTTGATGAGCCTGACTTGGAAGGCAAGTCTGATGCTAGCAGCTGCAGTATTTTCTGTGGAAAACACAGCAAACACATTCGAAAACCAACCAATTCCTGTAAGGGTGTGTGATGCGGACATGGTGGCTATGACCCTCTCTGAACCACTTAAAAACGCTCGGTAAGAATCATCGCTGAAACCGTGCAATGACGGGACAAGTTAATGAAGGCACTACAGGAATGCTATCGCTGAGAATGTGTATACTGTACCAAGCCCAGCGATGTGCTTGTGATGCTATGGCTACTTTCCTACCTACCTACCTGTCTGTTTATATTGCGAAGGTCCCTTTGTATCTCCCGGGTTCGTTTTGGCATGTCGACGGGCCCGGTTCCGACGGACCATGCTGCCTGTAATGTCTTCACTGACGCGCTCCCCCGGCTGGGGTCGACGGATATACATATATATATATATATAATGTATGTATGCATTTATATTTACATACGCAGTATGCACATACACGCACGCATTTCAATGCAGGCCACTATTGCAACACTGCCAAGCAAACAACTTCCTGATTTTGCAGGGCAACCATGCCAGTTTTTGCCATTACTATTTCTAGGTGGACAGCTTTATCACCAAATGGTCACAGTTTCACATAACTTCCAGTTTGAACTTTGCAGCTCCAGACTGCATTCCTTAGGTCGCCAATGTCAACTGCACCTGGGTGCAAGAACTTAAGCAGGAGGTGAGCTTTGGAGCAAAGGATGCACGTCAAACCTTTGCAGCCATTCCGATGATCATTGTGGTGAATATCGCCTTCAACCTTTGTTACAACTCCATGAACAATGCTTTCCCTTCTCAAGCTTGTCAAATGGACCTGAGACTTGGTACTACGCAGCTGAATGGTGCCTTTTTCAACATCGCAGATGCAATGGCAATTGTAATCTTTACTCCCATCTTCGAATCTTGTTTGTACCCGCTGATTGCACGTGTGAAAGGCTCGCCAGTCCGCTTGGGCCAGAAAATCATTGCGGGTTTGGTCATGGCAGCTATCTCCAACGTCGCTGCAGCCATTCTTGAGTCAATGCGGAAAGATGCTCCGTACCTGTGTGGTGATGCCGGCTTTTCTCAGTGTGCCCCAGGCTATTCTGATGATGGGGCAGAGGGGACACGAATGAAAGACATCAGTGCGTTCTGGATTTTCATTCCATTTGCACTGGTTGGCATCGCAGAGATTCTGGTCAATCCATGCATGTATTGCTTCTCATATGAAGCAGCTCCACTAGAGGTTCGATCCCTCATCCAAGCCCTCAACTTGTTCTTTATGGGCTCCGTGTCGAATGCATTCACCGCTGTTGTCTCAAAGCTTTTGTATCCAAATGACTTGGACAAGGGTAGCTTAGACAACTACTACTTTGTGAATGCCATTTTGGCAGTGATTGGAATTGCTGTGTACTTCCTCATTACACGTTGTGGAGATCATGGTCATGAGATCCGGCCAGCGATAGAGAAGGAGTTGGTTGTGGGGCCCATGGAAGAAGACTCCCCGCCCGATGTTTGAGTCAAGCCTCCTTAGCATGCTTCGTGACTGCAGCTTCGCAAGTCTTTGTGACTGCAGCTTTGCAAGTCTTTGTGACTGCATTTTGGTGGATCTCCCTAAGTGAAGCGCAGAGTGTAAGTGTAGACTTCTTCCGTCCTGATTGATGTTGATAAAAAACATCATAAAAAAAGGGTGCTTTGCAGAAATTGCAAGCGCTCCTACACGCACCTACAGTGCTCGGGTGAACTGCATTTGATATATCGGTTGCAATGGCTACAAAAGCAGCTCCGCGGGTTGAAATGTACAATTCCATGTGCTCCACTCAAGCAAAGATGTCTTGAAACCATGCCGCAGAGTTGCAGCATCTTTCGTCAAAGCCGAAAGATTTCAGTTCCACTTTTGTTTTTAGATCTGCTGTATCTTAGTCTATCACCTGATCCTTGTTTAGAATGATTCTGGGAGCGCAACTGAATGATCAAAGCATGCGGACACAGTGAATTAGTGGATGTATTTGCTGCAAACATTATGCTCAAGCAACTGAAGGAATGCCTGCAAGGAGAAGCTCTGGGCCAGTTTATTTGCACTCAAGTCGAAACATAAACACATAGACAAACCAATTCAAATAGGTAACAAAACGGCGGGCTGTTTCATCACAGACTGAAATACAGAGCAATCCACACACAATCTTGGACCCTGCCATTCTGCGATGGCACATTCTGAGTCCGAAGCTTGCGACACCAAGAATTTTAAGATCAGCAAGTTGCCTGTGGCAGTCATACTGCTTGTGGAGCTATGTGAACGACTTACATATTACACGTTGGCAGGCACACAGAAGATCTACTTTCAAAATCAATTGCTGAAGACACCATCTACTGCAGCTGCATTGAATTCGGTCTTCAGTATGTTGTGCTATTTCTGGTGCGTACCTGGTGGTCTGCTGGCAGACTCAATTGGTCGCTACAAGACCATCATCGCCGCTGGCAGCGTTTATGCCATTGGGACCATTTGCGTCGGCATTTCTGTGATCTACCAATTCCAGGAATCTCTGGGATGGCTCTTCACAGCAAGTTGCCTGGTTCTGATTGCTATGGGAACTGGTGGCATCAAGCCCAACATTGCAACCTTTGGGGCTGATCAAATCGGTGACGCTACAGAAAAGCAGCGTCAGTGTCAGACAACTTTCTTTTCCCTCTTCTACCTGTCCATCAACATTGGTGTCTTGATAGCCTTTGGCTTCTTGACCAACACAACGACTGGTGGGCTTCCCGGAGTGATTCCACAGGAAGAGGGCTATTCTTTTGCCTATGGCTCTGGGGCAGGTTGCATGATTCTGGCAGTATTGATCTTTGTGGGTTTCACAGGGTCATATACAATGCTCCCAGGAAACGGATTGGGACCTGCCCGGCGCTTGATTCGGTACCAATACTATTCTGTGTGGAATGGAGGCGGTTGGAGGGCTGCAATGTCTCTTGCGGGCTTCCTTTGCCTTCCTTTGTTCTACATTGTGACACTGGCTGATACTCTTCTTTCAGCTTCTGCTGAGAAATCGAGCACAAAAGTTTTCACCGACCCTTGTGCAGCACCTCTCACAGAAGCACCTCCTCGGATGCTTCATGGTGCTGGTGGAGAGGGCGTGCTTAGCGACATTGCGTTGGCTTTGGGATCCATGGCATGCATTTTCCTCATTGTGCAGACCTCAGTCCAAAAACTTGGTCTTCCCAAGAAGCTCGTGAAATTCAAGTTGTCCTGAGCACTTCCATGTGGTTGTCGGACTTTAGGCAAACTGGTTTTCTCCTTAGGAACACCAACCTTAGAGGCATCATGCGTGCCTGTCATCAGTATTTTTTTTTGCTGTTTATGTGACATTGGCTGCTTACCATGCTGGACAACCACATATCGAAGTGCAGATAATACTGTACCTTATCTCAAGCCGAAGACATCCCATAGTGCCAGAGTGGGTGCTGCATTTGCTGCTTCTGCATAGTGCGTGGATTTGTAGCTCCATTAAAAATCCATAAAGATTCATAAACATCCATAAATGATAAATGCCATACTTGCACCACTTAGGTGGCCCATGTCAACTGCTCTTGGGTACGAAGCCTTGGAGACGAGTCGCAGCACCAGCATAGCCGTAGCTTTAATGTAAAGGAAGCTCAACAGTCGCTTTCGGCACTCCCAATGATTGTGGTGGTCAACATTTCATTCAGCCTCTGCTACAATTCCATGAACAATGCATTCCCGTCCCAAGCTTGCCAAATGGATGTTCGCTTGGGCTCATCACAATTCAATGGTGCTTTCTACAACATTTCGGATGCTTTGGCCATTGTCATTTTCACGCCTATCTTCGAGACCTGCTTGTTTCCAGTCATTTCAAAGCTCAAAGGCTCACCCGTTCGCTTGGGGCAAAAGATTGTGGCTGGTTTGGTCGTTGCTTGCATCTCCAATGTCTCTGCTGCGTGGTTAGAATCCAAGCGACGAGACGCGCCATATCTTTGTGGCGATGCTGGCTTTTCTCAATGTGCTCCACACTACACACAAGATGGCCTGGAAGGTACACGAATGAAGGACATCAGTGCATTCTGGATTTTCATTCCATTTATACTTGTCGGAATTTCAGAGATCTTGGTAAACCCTTGCATGTACTGCTTCTGCTACGAATCAGCTCCAGCACAAGTTCGATCTTTAGTTCAGGCCATCAACCTGTTCTTTTCGGGTTCTGTGTCGAATGCATTCACCGCTGTTGTCTCGAAACTTTTGTATCCAAATGACTTGGACTCAGGTCATTTAGAGAATTACTATTTGGTAAATGCAAGTATGGCAGTAGCTGGAATTTTGGCTTACTTTGCCGTGACCCGTTGCCGAAGTGGCAGTGAGATCAATGAGGGCAGAGTCAATGAACTCGAGCTCGATGGAATTTGTGAAGGCGAAAAGTCCGAAGAATGTAAAGACGGCAAAGAGTGCCGCAAAGTGTAGAGTGGCACAACGAATGGCACAACGAATGGCCCGAATGGCCCGAATGGCCCGAATGGCCCGAATGGCGCGAATGGCGCTGAGTTTTAGGGTTTAGGGCGCCACATTTGGCCACAAATCTCGCCACGGTCTGACAGGTAAGATCTGGACAGGTCTACAGTTGACAGAAAATGGTATGGCTGTGCAGCTTGGAACACTGCTTGTTTTGAATGTATTAGGTGGAGGCAGATAAGTCAGTCCAACTTGATCCATGTATGAAACAGCAAGCTTCGAAAGGGGGCTTGTTCAGAACATTTCAGAACCCCAGTGCAGTTCGAGTTTGATTCTTGAACTTGACTCTGCTGTTTTGCCGAGGCGAGTGCAGCAAATCTTCCTTGCTGTTTGAGTCGTACTTTGCGAGGGCACATCAGACTTGTCAATGCTCAGCTGGGAAGTCAAAAGTGATTGCCGCGTTGTTTTTCTTGTGAGATTCTCAACTATGCAATGATTGATTCACCCAGTGAAAAGAATGTACATCATAAGGCACTCACGCAATACTCGAGGATTTCTTTTCTCCAAGCTGTTGTGTATCGATTGCCAAATATATTCACGTCGCTTCGCGACGGCAACCGCCCGCACCGCATCGTTGGGCAGCCGCTCGTAACTGCCAATGATGTCGGCCATTGAGACCAAAATCATCCGAAAGTACCGATTGTCGGAAAAAAAAAACGCGAAGAATTTGATAGCCATGTATAGCGGACCAACACAGTTCAAAAAATAACGAAAAACATGAAAAAACGGCGAAATTGCTGTTATTTACAGTGTTTTTGCGCGGTGAGAAGCAGAAACCACTGCAAATACTATGGTTTTCGAGGGTCAGGTGGCCAAAAACACTGTAATTTACAGTGTTTTTTTAACCAACGTCAAAAAACACTGGTATTTACGATGTTTTCATTCACACCGTAACATAAAACAGCGTAATTTACGAGGTTTTTTGGAAGTTTTGAAGCTAGCCGTCAAGCATGCAGAAAACAGAAAAACACTGTAAAAACCAGTGTTTCTGCTATCACAAAACGACGAAAATCAGTCCGAAAACGGGTCCAAAAACTCAAAAATCTGCCTCCGGGCCCGGCCACCTGCGGAACCGCAAAAAAAAATGTTGCAAACCAAAAAATTGAGGTCAAAAAGTTGAAAAACACGGGGTTTTTTCATTTTTCGCTTGCCGATTTTGGACGGGCGCGTTCACGAACAGGTGTCTTCCGTACTGTTTTTTACAGTGTTTTTTGAAGGCGAGCGTCACGACCTATCAAAAACAGGAGGTTTTGGACGAAAAATGCCCCCCCCCCCCAGGTAAACCTGTAACCTTTTTACGAGTGCCATCCGGAAGATCACGCCCCAGCACCTTCGGTGCGGGCGGATTTTTTTTTCGGCAAGAAGCGGCAAGAGCTCAGTTGTTTCTAAGTCAACACTTTCACCCAGGTGCTTGTTTCGCGACCAAGATGCAGATTTTTTTGTCTCAGTCTGCTTTGCAGGTGAAGCGCCGGAAGCTCCGCAAAAGCGCGATGTGTTCGCTGAGTTTGAAGCCCTTGCAGGGATCCAGGTGAGTAGTGCTAGAAGTTCTGGTGAATGTCACTGTTAAATTAATGTGTGCCTCTGATTAGTGTGAGGGCCCCCCCCCCCTAAACAATTTGAGGATACTCTATAACTCGCACTTTTTTTGCCCCCCCCTCAACATTTTTTTGGTCAATCAACTTAAGAAAGGATTTCAATTTACTTTCAATTGATTTCAATTGATTTGAATTTACTTTCAATTGATTTCAATTTACTTTCAATTGATTTCAATTTACTTTCAATTTACTTTTAATTTACTTTTAATTTACTTTCAATTTACTTTCAATTGATTTCAATTTACTTTTAATTTACTTTCAATTGATTTCAATTTACTTTCAATTTATTTTCAATTTACTTTCAATTTGCTTTTAATTTACTTTCAATTGATTTCAATTTACTTTCAATTGATTTCAATTTACTTTTAATTTACTTTCAATTGATTTCAAATTACTTTCAATTTACTTTCAATTTACTTTTAATTTACTTTCAATCTACTTTCAATTTACTTTCAATTTACTTTCAATTTACTTTCAATTTACTTTTAATTTACTTTCAATTTACTTTCAATTGATTTCAATTTACTTTCAATTGATTTCAATTTACTTTTAATTTACTTTCATTTTTTTTCACTCCCAAAAGTTGGTGCTCACAATAGAGTACCATCCAAACAATTATATTATTCAGTAACTGAGCCACTCATGAGGTACACCCTTGAAAAATTGTCTGGGTGCTGTTTTTTAATAAGGGTTTAATAAGGCATCTAATTATTTGGGAAACCTTGCATTTTAAAGCTTTAACACAAATATGGCTTTCTAAAGTGAAAGGACCAGCTTTACCCAAAGAAAGGTGTAGAAAGGGTTTTGTTTTTTTTTTTCACTCCCAAACTTTGGTGCTCACAATAGAGTACCATCCAAACAATTATATTATTGAGTAACTGAGCCACTCATGAGGTATACCCTTGAAAAATTGTCTGGGTGCTGTTTTTTAATAAGGGTTTAATAAGGCATCTAATTATTTGGAAAACCTTGCATTTTAAAGCTTTAGCATAAATATGGCTTTCTAAAGTGAAAGGACCAGCTTTACCCAAAGAAAGGTGGAGAAAGGGTTTCGTTTTTGTTTTTCACTCCAAAAAGTTGGTGCTCACAATAGAGTACCATCCAAACAATTATATTATTCAGTAACTGAGCCACTCATGAGGTACCCCTTTGAAAAATTGTCTGGATGCTGTTTTTTAATAAGGGTTTAATTAGGCATCTAATTATTTGGAAAGCCTTGCATTTTTAAGTTTTAACACAAATATGGCTTTCTAAAGTAAAGGGACCGGCTTTACCCAAAGAAAGGTGGAGAAGGGTTTTGCTTTTTTTTCACTCCCAAAAGTTGGTGCTCACAATAGAGTACCATCCAAACAATTATATTATTCAGTAACTGAGCCACTCATGAGGTACACCTTTGAAAAATTGTCTGGATGCTTTTGTTTAATAAGGGTTTAATAAGGCATCTAATTATTTGGAAAAACCTTGCATTTTAAAAGCTTTAACACAAATATGGCTTTCTAAAGTGAAAGGACCAGCTTTACCCAAAGAAAGGTGGAGAAAGGGTTTTGCTTTTTTTTCACTCCCAAAAGTTGGTGCTCACAATAGAGTACCATCCAAACAATCATATTATTGAGTAACTGAGCCAATTATGTTTTTTTCAGGTATCTAATTATTTGGAAAACTTTGCATTTTAAAGCTTTAACACAAATATGGCTTTCTAAAGTGAAAGGACCAGCTTTACCCAAAGAACGGTGGAGAAAGGGTTTTGCTTTTTTTTTTCACTTCCAGAAGTTGGTGCTCACAATAGAGTACCATCCAAACAATTATATTATTGAGTAACTGGGCCAATTATGGTTTTTTCAGGTATCTAATTATTTGGAAAACCTTGCATTTTAAAGTTTTAACACAACTATGGCTTTCTAAAGTGAAAGGACCAGCTTTACCCAAAGAAAGGTGGAGAAAGGGTTTAGCTTTTTTTTTTCACTCCCAAAAGTTGGTGCTCACAATAGAGTACCATCCAAACAATTATATTATTGAGTAACTGAGCCACTCATGAGGTATACCCTTGAAAAATTGTCTGGGTGCTGTTTTTTTAATAAGGGTTTAATAAGGCATCTAATTATTTGGGAAACCTTTCATTTTAAAGCTTTAACACAAATATGGCTTTCTAAAGTGAAAGGACCAGCTTTACCCAAAGAAAGGTGGAGAAAGGGTTTTGCTTTTTTTTCACTCCCAAAAGTTGGTGCTCACAATAGAGTACCATCCAAACAATTATATTATTGAGTAACTGAGCCAATTATGTTTTCTTCAGGTATCTAATTATTTGGAAAACTTTGCATTTTAAAGCTTTAACACAAACATTGCTTTCTAAAGTAAAGGGACCAGCTTTAACCAAAGAAAGGTGGAGAAAGGGTTTTGTGTTTTTTTTTCACTCCCAAAAGTGGGTGCTCACAATAGAGTACCATCCAGACAATTATATTATTGAGTAACTGAGCCACTCATGAGGTACCACCTTGAAAAATTGTCTGGATGCTGTTTTTTAATAAGGGTTTAATAAGGCATCTAATTATTTGGGAAACCTTGCATTTTAAAGCTTTAACACAAACATTGCTTTCTAAAGTAAAGGGACCAGCTTTAGCCAAAGAAAGGTGGAGAAAGGGTTTTATTTTTTTTTTCACTCCCAAAAGTGGGTGCTCACAATAGAGTACCATCCAGACTATTATATTATTGAGTAACTGAGCCACTCATGAGGTACCCCCTTGAAAAATTGTCTGGATGCTGTTTTTTAATAAGGGTTTAATAAGGCATCTAATTATTCACGTCGCTTCGCGACGGCAACCGCCCGCACCGCATCGTTGGGCAGCCGCTCGTAACTGCCAATGATGTCGGCCATTGAGACCAAAAACATCCGAAAGTACTGATTGTCGGAAAAAAAACGCGAAGAATTTGATAGCCATGTATAGTGGACCAACGCAGTTCAAAAAATAACGAAAAACATGAAAAAACGGCGAAATTGCTGTTATTTACAGTGTTTTTGCGCGGTGAGAAGCAGAAACCACTGCAAATACCATGGTTTTCGAGGGTCAGGTGGCCAAAAACACTGTAACTTACAGTGTTTTTTTAACCAACGTCAAAAAACACTGGTATTTACGATGTGTTCATTCACACCGTAACATAAAACAGCGTAATTTACGAGGTTTTTGGAAGTTTTGAAGCTAGCCGTCAAGCATGCAGAAAACAGAAAAACACTGTAAAAACCAGTGTTTCTGCTATCACAAAACGACGAAAATCAGTCCGAAAACGGGCCCAAAAACTCAAAAATCCGCCTCCGGGCCCGGCCACCTGCGGAACCGCAAAAAAAGATGTTGCAAACCCAAAAATTGAGGTCAAAAAGTTAAAAAACACGTTTTTTTTTTCACTTTTCGCTTGCCGATTTTGGACGGGCGCGTTCACGAACAGGTGTCTTCCGTACTGTTTTTTACAGTGTTTTTTGAAGGCGAGCGTCACGACCTATCAAAAACAGGAGGTTTTGGCCGAAAAATGCCCCCCCCCCCCAGGTAAACCTGTAACCTTTTACGAGTGCCATCCGGAAGCTCACGCCCCAGCACCTTCGGTGCGGGCGGATTTGGGAAACCTTGCATTTTAAAGCTTTAACACAAACATTGCTTTCTAAAGTAAAGGGGCCAGCTTTAGCCAAAGAAAGGTGGAGAAAGGGTTTTATTTTTTTTTCACTCCCAAAAGTGGGTGCTCACAATAGAGTACCATCCAGACAATTATATTATTGAGTAACTGAGCCACTCATGAGGTACCCCCTTGAAAAATTGTCTGGATGCTGTTTTTTAATAAGGGTTTAATAAGGCATCTAATTATTTGGGAAACCTTGCATTTTAAAGCTTTAACACAAATATGGCTTTCTAAAGTAAAGGGACCAGCTTTAGCCAAAGAAAGGTGGAGAAAAGGTTTTATTTTTTTTTTCACTCCCAAAAGTGGGTGCTCACAATAGAGTACCATCCAGACAATTATATTATTGAGTAACTGGGCCACTCATGAGGTACCCCCTTGAAAAATTGTCTGGATGCTGTTTTTTAATAAGGGTTTAATAAGGCATCTAATTATTTGGGAAACCTTGCATTTTAAAACTTTAACACAAACATTGCTTTCTAAAGTAAAGGGACCAGCTTTAGCCAAAGAAAGGTGGAGAAAGGGTTTTATTTTTATTTTTCACTCCCAAAAGTGGGTGCTCACAATAGAGTACCATCCAGACTAATATTTTTTGAGTAACTGAGCTACTCATAGGGTAATTAATATGTTAATGAATAATAAAGCAATAAAAAACGATAAGAAAGGAAACAATGAAAAAATGAAACAATAGTAAATAAAGTTAAAATAACAATGGAAAAGTAAAAAGTAAAAATAAATAATAAAATAAAAATAGATAAACTAAAAATAACAATAAATAAATAAATAAAGTAATTAATTAATTTCAAAAAAAAACATTTGGAAAAAACAGTTGAAAAAACAAATCTGGAAAAAAATTCTCACAATAGAGGCTCCCCCCCAACAATTAGCATGTTACTGAATTAGGAGCAAGAAATTTCTCACAATAGGGTACCAGGCTTCTAATCAGAGGCAAACATTACTGTAAAAGCTGGAAATGTGTACCAAATGATCCAAATGTCAGATTTGTCACGGTGGATGGCTCATGATGGCTCATGGCTCATGATGGCTCATGATGGCTCACTGGATAATATCTGGATCATTTCTGAATTTGTGTCAGGTTGGAGCAACTGGAGCAGCGCCGGACGTTCTACCGGTGCGGCCTTTGGCTTGGCAGTCGTGACAATTTTTTGATCTGGATCTGGAGCTCAGGAGGTGTCGCATCCTCCTGCAGAGCCGTTGCAGAATTTGGTTGAGGAGAGACCTGGACTTCATATGATTTCATATGATTTCATATGATTTCATATGATTTCTTGCCTGTAATCAGCAGTAATTCTGAATTCGGTATCTTAGGCCTCAGTGTTTACCAACACTGTTGTAATTAGTTGACCTTTGACATCCTTTGACTGCTTCAGGCTGGCAGTTGCCCTCGGCTACTGTATACAGATCACAGTGTATTCGCTGCAGCTTGACATTCACTGATTCACTGGTATTTTGTAGTTTGACGCCAGGGCGTCAGAATTCTCGGAATCACTGAAGTTTGATCGCTGATTTATTACACGTTTCTTCGTGATGAGATGAAACTCACACATGTTGCATCATTTTGCTAGCTATTTCACCAATCAGCCTACATGCGTTGGGTGTGATTATTCGATCATTTCGGGCTATTTTTGCCTGTATTCATGAATGCAGAGCTGCAATGCACACATTTTGTCATGTGTATCGTGTGTGTTGTCATTTACACCAGGAGCCTGTGAATGACATTGGAGGCCCAAGAATGACAGGGACAGTCCTGGAGAAAGTCTTTGGCGATAAAACCTGCCATGTGGTCACTCTTTCAATAAATCCAAATGCCGCAACAGGGTATTGCGCACACATGTTTTCCACTGCGAAGGCACCACTTCATTCGTCACACAAGTGCCCGATTCAGTGGCCTCACAGGTTGGGGATCCTTTGGACAAAATCCACGATTTTGCTGTCATTCTCAGTCATCCTCAGTCATCCTCATCATCTTTTTTTCTTGCAGGATGCTTTTTGTTGTGACATTGTTACTGTCAGCTTTCGTTTGTTGCCAGGTGACTTCCAATGAAGGAAGCAAATGGGATGCCTTTGACGAACCAGTGTGGCGCCAGGCTCAAAGACTTTTTGGGCCAATCTGCTGTTTCTTGTAACATCTTGTAACTGTAACATGCTTCAATACGTTTTCTGCCAGCAGGAAAGTGCTTCGATTCTGCCAACATTTGAGCCCGTTCTCATTTCTTTTTATCTGTTTTCTTGAGAATCCACCGTGCTTCAGCAGCTTTGCAGGCTCCGACCTCTGCAGCCTCTGCAGCCTCTGCAGCCTCTGCAGCCTCTGCAGACCCAGCTCCTGCACCAGCCCCTGCGCACGAGTCGCAGTGGCAAGCCTTCGGTGAAGCTGAGCTGCCCTCAGCCGGTTGAGATCAGTTGCGATATACTGTAGACATAGTGGATATCTGTGATGGTTAGCGCAGATGGCTAAAGGTACCTTGGAGTCAAAGACATTCAAAGAGTTTCAAAGACAATTTCCAGAGTTCATTGGACACAGGCTGTGGGTGAGCCAGAGACGTCTCAGAAATGGGGTGCTTTTGGCGATGCCTGGCACTTAGTCTCCGTCACCTTCACATACATATGAGGTTTGCAGGCATGGAAGCAGCTTGTTGCCCCGCAAGCAGGAAGGAGTGATATTAGATTATTAGATGATAGAATGATGATAAAAAACGTTTTTGTAACATTTCTCTACCCCCCAGTATGCGTTCGCAGGCCCACATGCCAGAGACGAGCAAGAGTCCGGAGGTTTTCTGGGGGTGTCTGACGACTTTGGCACTTTCAAACTCCTCCCAGATGCCCCGATGCCGTGACAGGCGGAGAAAGATCAGAAGTGGGCCGCCTTCGGAAACGAGGTTCGGGGCAGCTTTTCGGGATTTTTCGGGTAAGTTTGCCAGAGTTCGGGGAGAGGTTTTCACCCGCAGCTTCAACGGCCCGAGGCGGAACCAGCAGCTGCCCAGGTTGAATGGGATGCTTTTGGCAATCAACCTGCTGGGCACCCAGACTTACTCAGACCTCATTTTTGATTTCTTCTTCTTCTTCTTTTTTGATTCATTTTGGTAGATTTACTGTGATGCAAGATGGAACTCACTACCCAGGCTCCGAAGGACAGTTGGAGTGCTTTCGGCTCTGAGGCTCGACACAAAATACACAAAGCTTTGACATGTTTTGGCTTGTTCTTCGCTTTGCAAATCTTTGCAAACATTTCGGCAGGTGCAGGTACAAATCTCAAAGCCAGAGGAGGCGCCGTGTGCCACGCTGCCATGCTTTCGACATTTTTGGACCATTTCTTCCCTTCTTGTCTGACCTTCTCCATTTGACACAGGAGGCTGACTGGGCAGCGTTTGAGAGGTGCTTGACTCAGAATCACTATGGATGTGACTCTCATTTCATCCTGATATCAGAGCAGTTGACCACGCTAAATACTTCTAGATGCTGCCTCACTGCAGGTACTGTATATTTCAAGTCACATTCTGGGAAGATCAGGGCTTTTGCTGAAATTTTAAACCCTATCGCCAATGGCCCTGCGCAGTGCTTCGGGACCTACAGCTACTGCACCAACCACTGCCTCCACGACAGCGCCGACAGGAGTCTGGCATTATCATCTGTGCCGCTGGATCCCCAAAAAAACAGCACACTACGGCAGCACGGCAGTGTTCCAATTTTAGGAGACCTGTGGAGCAAAATGTCCGCCTTTGATGACCTTCTGAAGGAGGACAAGTGATGAGATTGATGAGTGATGTGACAAACGTAGACCAGTGCTACCAGTGAGATCGGATCGCATCATCCCAGCTGTCAGGATGACGCCTTGGGAGGTTCTGCTGGAGCAGTGGAGCTTGGCCAAGGCCAGAAAGGTTGTGCAATGATGTGTGTGTATATATAGTTATATATATTATATATATAAAATAGCTAGTAAGCGTCATGCCCCAATTCAAAGTATGACCCCCCTACACTTCCAAGCATCAAGACATCATTTTTCAACAAGCATCAGAACGAACGTACACCAGTTCAAGAATTTCAAACACATTTTACCCCAGAACATCAAACATTTCATCAAGATTTTTTGACAAGTTTCATCAATATCATTCTCAACTTCCCCACCTCTTACCAACCCCCCGAAAAGATAATTTCATCACAATATTCCCCAATAAATTTTGTGAAGGATTTTCTAGTGGAAAGTAAATCACAAAAGGTCAGGCGAATCGCACAAAAAAACTTGTCAACCAAAAGTCCTAAAAGGCGTTGGTTTCCAACTATGCAACATATTCAGATTTTTCCAAAACCTCAATATTTGCAAAATTGCTTTACAAATATTCATGCTTCAGGCTCTGAATGCATCCGAAACGTCAAACTTTGACAACTGCTAATTAGATGTCACTCCTCGCACTGCTCTGCTAATCATGTCAGGAGCACCATTTTTTGTTCTTCGGCTTCTTCTGAAAAAAATGTCGTCGTCGTCATTGTCGTCGTCGTCGTCGTCGTTACGCATTTACGTTTTACGCGGTATATATCTATGTATCTATCTACTGTAATTTATCTTTTTATCTATCTACTCCCAAAAAACACAACCACCGGCTCACACCAGTTCCACCCCTCATCTTGGCTTCCATACCTGCAGTGCCGAGGCGGATGTTAGGCTATAAAAAAATATTCACACATTTTTTTTGGGACTATATATTGTGATGAATTGTTTTTTGGGAAATTTGGATGTTTAAACTGGGGCCTGAATGAGGTGAGGAAGTTGAGAATAATATTGATGAAAATTGTGAAAAAATCTTGATGAAATGTTTGATGTTTTGGGATAATTGATGAGTTCTGATGAAAATGTGTTTGAAATCCTTGAACTGGTGTACTGTATGTTCCTGATGTTTGTTGAAAAATGATGTCTTGATTGAACGTGTAGGGCGGTCATACTTTGAATTGGGGCATGACGCTTACTAGCTATAATATACACGTACGTATATATATATACATATTAAAAAACTATAAACTATAGACATCACATGAAATGACATGGAATGACAATCAGATGCAAAGAATCGCAACGATGCTATTGCTGGACAGCTCCCCCTGCAGCCTTGACGAGCTCGGTCGTGGATCCAGAGACAGAGCGGCCGACAGAGACTGCGGAGCCCAACGTGCCGATAGCGTCAGAAGGCGGCGCAAACACTTCAAGCATTCTCAAACCGCAATTTGCTTTGATTTCGATACCCAAATGTGATCTTAACTGATGTTGATTGAAATTAGTTCATCTTAATTGTGGAAAATGCCAGATGTAGAATGATGTAGCATGATGGATGTAGCATGCATATGTAGAGACATAATTAGTCCGAGAGAATGCATTGAAACAATTTGATGAAGCAAAGAACAAAGTGGGATAGAGTGGGATTCAGCGGGTACTGACAGGCTGACTTGCTGAATTTCTGAATCGAATCTTCCAAGCCTTTCAAGTCAGGTGATGATGACAGCGAGTTCGGAGACTTCGCTGCAGGGCCAAGCTCTTCACCAGAGGCAGAGGCCTAGCGATGCCGTCAGTTGAAGCGGGACAGCCCAACACCGCCGGTCGACAGGCCGGCAGAGAGCCCATCTCAGGACCCGAGAAGATCATGAGAAAACGTCCAATATTGTTGTTGAAAGATGGGGGCCAAACTGATGGCAAGGTAAATGCATGCAAATGCATGTAAATGCACTGATAAAGGAAAACTGGAAAATATGGTCTGTGTGATGCTAAGGTCAGCCGCATAACTCACATTTTTGCAAAAATTGTGTTTGTTGAGCACAAGGACAAGGAAATATGGACTTCATGGACTTCAGTCCACCAGTGTCCACCTTTCCCACTTCTTTTCCCAGCACTGCCCCTGTCGGAAGTCCTGAGCTGAGAAAGTGTCCTTTTTCCCCACCTGCCAGGTGAGGGTTGTTAGATTTTATCTAAGTTGCCTTCTCCTCCTCCTGCCTGCCTCCTCCTCTCCTCCTCTCCTCCTCCTCTCGTCGTCCTCCTCCTCTCGTTGTCCTCCTCCTCTCGTTGTCCTCCTCGTCTCGTTGTCCTCCTCGTCCTCCTGCTCAACTGCGACTCGCGATCCACAGTGTTCGCTGCCGGACCTCAACCACGACCATCCACGCCCAGTGTTCCCTGCCGGACCTCAACCAGGACCATCCACGCCCAGTGTTCCCTGCCGGACCTCAACCACGGCCATCCACGCCCAGTGGTCCCTGCCGGACCTCAACCGCGACCATCCACGCCCAGTGTTCCCTGCCGGACCTCAACCGCGAGTATCCACGCCAAGTGTTCCCTGCCGGACCTCAACCACGACCATCCACGCCCAGTGTTCCCTGCCGGACCTCAACCACGAGTATCCACGCCAAAAGATATGCCACATAGAGTGCCAGAAGATATGCCAGATAGAATGTTAGAAGATATGCCAGATAGAATGCCAGAAGGTATGCCAGATAGAATGCCAGATAGAATGTCAGCTAGAATGCCAGAAGATATGCCAGATAAGTGCCAGAATGTTTGCCAGATAGAATGCCAGCAGATTTGCCAGATAATATGCCAGAAGATATGCTAGATAGAATGCCAGATGGAATGCCAGAAGATTTGCCAGATAATATGCCAGATAGAATGCCAGATGGAATGCCAGAAGATATGCCAGAACATATGCCAGAAGATATGCCAGAAGATATGCCAGAACATCTGCCAGAAGATATGCCAGAAAATCTGCCAGAAGATATGCCAGGTAGAATGCCAGAAGATATGCCAGATAGAATGCCAGATCGAATGCCAGAAAATATGTCAGATAGAATGCCAGAAGATTTGCCAGTAACAAAATGTATAAATGTCATGGTGGGGATCACACGAAGTAAAGTAATTTGTGTTGCGCCAGTGCTGCCTAGCTTAGCACAACATACAGCAGAATAATGAACCGTGTCAGGAGGATTGACATTTCCACTTTATAGACTTCCTGATTGAATGAAACTACTCAGCTGTTCATCGGTTTTGAGGTGCTGACATTGTGAATAACCTGACAGCCGAAGTGGCTGGGGAAGCAGGATTCGGTTAGTGAGACGAATATTGTTGAAAGCAGATGTTGCAGTCCCACGTTTTGCCAGACCTTTGTTTGACAATCCACGAAAGGACCAGAACCAGCTTCTGCATCCTTTGCGGCATTTGATGTACCTGGCTCAGAAGGATGCAAGGGAAGCTTCTTTGAGTGCCGATAAAGTTTGTGAGGCAGATTTTGGTGACTTTGGCTGAAGACTCAGATATCTCAGATCGCAGATGATTGCGAAGAGATCCGTCCAAAGGACGATTTGCGCGGAGTGAGCTTTGTCGTTTGAGGAAGCGCAGAAGCTCCAGTACAAACCTCAACTGTTGCAGCTGCATCTTTTGAAATCTGTGGGTCGCTTGGCCAAAAATAATACTGCAAGGCCACCCAGCAGCAAAATGAAGAGCCGACAGGTTCCAAATCGGTTTTCAAGTCTTGGCATTTTCGTGTTTGGAGATGGTGCAGTTGGAGAAGAACTTGTTTGCGCAGGCCTTCTTGACTTTGAAGGTGACTTTGGAGACTTTGGAGATGGCGGGGATCCCAGCAATGGGAGTTCTAACTGTCTGAAGTTTCAAACACTGTGGTAAACAGCACCCATCCTCAAACAGAGTTCGGGCCGGCATGCCTTGTTTTTTCAGGAAGTCATTTTGAGACAAGACTTTGGCGCCTGTGCTTGGAGTGCTAAATAGCTGGCCTTGGAATATGCCATATCCAAGGCTTATGTTCTGTGATATTCAGCAGTGCCACCCTTCCTCAAGCTTCAGTGTTGATTTAAGGCAAGGCCAGCGATGCCACTGCCCTATTTTTGCAGAGGAGCCTCCTCTTTGAGCTTTTTTTTTTTAAATAGGCAGATGCCACACTCAGGCTTCTCACTTGGTTGAGTCGATCATATTGGATCGACCTTCAAAAAGGCAAGCACTTTCTGTTTTTTGCTATGCCGTACCTCCTTCCATTTATATAATTATACCAGTAGTACTGCACAAGGCGGTGGCGGAAGTTTCAAAAATAGGAAACCTATAGGAGAGGTTGGTGGTTGTGAATCAGGGATGGCAGAGCGAAGCCACTGATGGACCGAAAGGTGCTTGAGGTCTCCTCTCTTTCTCTCTCTTTCTCTGACTATCTATCTATGTATCTATGTAGCTATGTATCTATGTATCTATCTACCTATCTATCTATCGATCTGTCTATCTATCTATGTAACTTTCTATCTATCTATCTACCTATCTATCTGTCTATCTATTTAATCTATTCTAATCTTATCGATCTATCTATCTATCTCTCTCTCTCTTTCATCTAATTACCTATCTATCTAATCTATCTATCTACTATCTTTCTATCTTTCTATCTTTCTATCTTCTATCTTTCTATCTTTCTATCTATCTCTCTATCTATCTATCTATCTGTCTGTCTGTCTGTCTGTCTGTCTGTCTATCGATCTGTCTGTCTTTCTGTCTGTCTATCTGTCTAGCCATCTATCTATCTATCTCATCTACCCAGCTCCTCTCTCTCTCTCTCTCTCCCTTTCATCTGTCTATCTGTCTAGCTGTCTACCTGTCTAGCTGTCTACCTGTCTATCTGTGTTGCAGTGTCATTCAGTGTAATGTAGTGTGGTGTAGTGTAATTTAGTGTAGTGGAGTGTACTGGAGTGTAATGTACTGCTTCCCGCCACAACGGCGTGCACTTTTTCGACATCTCAACTTCCAAAAGTGGTCCGAGACCGCCAGTTTTTAACACTTTTGACTTCAAAATGTGCTTCGCGC